TGTTTTTGATGACAGAGCAGCCCCTCCCGACCATGTTGCTCCGACTCCTCCTTCTCGCCGCCGGGATTGAGGCCCACCCGGCGGGGCTCCGGATCCAACAAGGGCTACTAGCCAGCCAACCTAACACACAAAGCCGAGTTAGCATTCGCACTCGGATCGCTCAATGCTTAAATTCAAGCATTGAACACGAAGATTCCGTGTAATGAGCTACAGGGTATGTGGAAGTGTAAAGGTCGCAAATCCATACACATTCATTTCTGATAAGAATTCTAAATAAAGAGTGATTCGCACGGTTGGTAGCTTTCAAGTATTCTGCCAAGTGTATTATACTTCGACGAAGTTAACAGCTGTAGTCTCTAGACTCGACCGCCCTTCCCAACAGAACTTAAAATACCTAGATAAAATCAAGCGTGTGATGGTTAATTGGAAAACTGTTAAACTGTTAAACGAGTTGTCAGGTAACAACGATAGCGATCAAATGAGTTGGCGTTACTCCACGTTACCTGTGTGGAATGGTAACACGCTCAAACAGTGGTGCGAGACCGGTAGAGTCAACTGCTCATTAGTATAAGATCTTATAATACAAGACCTACATTAACGAAGTGTTTTGATGGTTGTTATTGGTCTTATTGGTATGGATAACGGAATGAATGAAATCAACGTTTGATGCCTTTTTCTCATTTGTCGATCCGAAAACAATTGCCATCTATAAGGTTTTACCGATAAAAAGCTCTAGGAAAAGCTAAATACATGGGCTGTACTAATTATTTCCGATGTTTGGAAACCATTTCACGTTGTTTAAAATTAGTTGGGTTTTCAACACAATTACTTCAACTAATTTATGCTTAAGTAATCCTGAACCGATGTCGAGCGCACCGCGGTAGTCATAAACAAATGAATATGAAAAATACGGAGAGCGCATTGTTCATTCCGCTTTAAGTTCACGTCTCAACGTCGGTGGGGGCTAGCAGCACTCACTACTTTATAAGAGTACTTTGGCTTATGGCCTTTTAGAGTATAAACTTTCGTGGTTTGTGACTAGGGCGCACTGGTAGTATTATGGTTGTGTTGCCCGTAACATTAATCGGCAGGTTTGTTGAATTAGTTTGCACCTGTCCTAAACATCTTTTTTACGTTCCAGCATCGAGGTCAGAGGAGGTGCCGTGACAACTAGGTTCATAGCTGTCATTTCGTTCTTACATTTGTACCTTCAAGTATATAACTCACGTCATATTGCAGTTTCTTTCCCTAAATAATGGATATAAACATTCAATGGACAGTTGCGCGGCTCTAGACTCCAAACCAGGCCAAAAAGCCCCCAGTTAAAGCTTCTTTCGGAGAGTAAGTGGCACATGTTATATTTGAGGTGTAATATTCAATAACCTAGGCATAAATAAAGTATAAGCATGACAGATCGGATAATAGTATCGGTAATGCGTGTGAAAAGCTTATGGACGCCTTTATCCCACGAAAAAGAAGCTGGCTTTGGGTTCAGTGTCAGCTACAGACACACGTGACTAAGTAGCGCATCCGGCAGCGTACTCTTCTGGAGCCACACACAGCAAAGTACGGTATGTGCAACAGGGAGCTGCACAGAATACGTAGAAGCGGTAAGGGCAAATTCCTCCATCAAAATTTACTTTGGATAGGACAGTAATAGATTCACATGCAAACAGAGAGAGTTGCGGTGACGTGGTGCTCACCGATCAAGCTAGAGACATACTCGTCCCGTGATGCCTTGGGGCTCAATCGAGAGCTCTTTTGGGCAGTCGCCTGGCGACTAGTAACATATGTGGATACCGACAAAGACTAGGGAGACCAGATAAAAGCTGAGGACAACTAGCCCGTGGCTCATGAGTAGAGCGTTCGACTCAAGGAGTCCGGGCTGGAATCCCAGGTGGTTTACATTTCTGATTGGGTATGGCTGGCTGGTGACGGCTAGTAAGCCAGAAATGGCTATTCCGGTCTCCCCTGTCTTTTTCGGCACTTCATTATCAGCAGAGGAAGGAGTACGTTCAGGGCCTTTTTCGAGAACAGGCAGTGGCTGTAGCCGTCCCACGCCAGAAACGGTGGGCTCCAAGTGTTGCAGGCGCATAGTTCTTCGATGAGGACCGAAGTTTCCCATGCCTCCCCAGACTTGATCGTTAAGAGTCCAAGAACTTTTGTTCTAGAATGGCTGAATTGGACTGAATCAGACACCCAAAGGACCGCATAGATTTCGGTCAATGTCTACGTTGTGCACGATTAACCTAGTTGTAAAAGTCCCTTGAACAAGGATCTCACGAGGGGCAGTGTCGATAGGTCACTGAAAACCGGTGCTCCGGACAGAGAAAGACGCGGTATTATTGAACAGTCTGCGATTCCACTGAAACCATGCCGGCCATTTCTTACTCCTTGCACCAATAATGTGACGAGTGCTTAGAATGGTAAGACAATACTCGCGCAAACGAACCCAGAGAAACGGTTACGTGTAATTTAGCCAGCTACCAATTCTCCACTTTAGGGTAAACAGCCAACGGCACAGAAACATCGCTTCAATAAAGAACTGGCTGAGGGCCAATGCACTAAGATAAAAGGTTAACGGTTAACCTGGCCAAAACTGGCAAGTCATTCACATACTTTAGGTTGGTTTTCGCTGGAGACAATGCCCAGACATTGGCGATAACTGACTACGGACAAGTGCTTAGGACCTAAATGCATGGTTGAAAACCAAACCTTGCCCCACTTGGCTGAGATTAAGCTTCGGGGAAACATATAGGGCATTCTTGATTTTTAAATAATATGTTGGGTGAATGTTTGGACACCGCACATGGACAGATACTCAGCAAGCCATGCGAAAAGGCAACCGAATAAATGGTAACGGCAAAGCACATCTATCCACATACTGACTGAACTCCGAGGTGTGCGAGAAAAGCGCCACGAGAGGCGATTTCTAATGTCATGGATGAACGGGAGCAGAGGTGTTGGAAGAAGTGAGCGTCGAAGAGAGCGTGGTGGGCTTGGACACGAGGACGATCCCATCGATTCTAGGGCTATGCGTTTTCGGCCGAAACAGGGCTCAGAACTTCGTGAAACAGGAATCGAAAGGATGCCAGAGGTGGACCGAGTGGTAGGCTTGCAACGGCTCGACTC